TATTATTATTATTATTATTATCGTTATTATTATTATTATTATTATTATCGTTATTACTATTCTTATTATTGTTGTTATTATTCCTATTATTATTGCTATTATTATTTTTATATTATTATTAATTATTGATTATTATCGTTCTCATTGTTGTAAGAATAATAATAAGTAATATTATTTTTGAAAGGGTGTAAAAACTGAAAAGTTTTCCATTCAATCAACAGTCCACCACCTTGTCATTACTTGAGCTGTCAACTGTCTCACTGTTTTGTGTTTCATCGTCTATTTCCTTCTTCTGTTTCTTACTACTTTTCGAACTTTTTCGGCTCTGTAACTTTAAATACATGTTTTGAATGTTATCTCGTTATTTTGTATTCTGTTCTTAATTTTCGTAATCACCGTCATAATGGAATCCCTATTTTGATTTGACTTTTATAAAATATTCCCTTATCAAATTTATCAATGATTTGTGTCAATCAAGTCCCTCTTTTTTGCATTGTACTCATCGTTCAGTAAAATGTTATTTGTTTGAACATAAATGGATATGTATGTTCTNTTTTCGTATGTATAATGCTGAATGAAACTCAAAATTATATTCACATTCATTCAGGCGGCTTCATTCATGTGCTCATAAGCCTTGATGGCTTCAAATGAGGGAGTTTAAGATTTATATCTCATTTTATATTCTGACTTATCTGCTAATTATTTTCAACTCAGTTGCTGCTCTTAAATCACGCCAAATCTATAGGCGCTCGACCTGAAACGAGCAGTGATCCGTCCAAAGAAGTTTCTTTCATCTGTTATGAATGTGTTACGGCCGGCCGTATCCTTTGCTTCAAAACAATTACGTTGTTTGAGGGGATGAATTCCCCTCTGAGAATATCCTATCTTGTCGACAAACAATTTTGTTTCAATGTATTCCTCACATCAATAAGCTGAATTTTGGGATGAGATGCATTTATCAGTGCTATGCGATTTGTGATGAATGAAACTTTGATACTTATATGCCTTAGCCTTTGAGCCAACCCATATTTTCATTGATAATGGTGGTACCAAATAAGTCTTTTTTCTGCAATATTCGTGAGAGCAATTGTTGCTTTCTTGCTCAACCCTCCTCTTGTATCGAAAAAAAAACAACAAATTAGTCATATATTCAATTACGCGTTGCTTTTTGCTGGCAGTCTTCGGACTCATACGCGCTTTCCTGTCACTTGGTGTACGTGGTTCCTGCTTATTACTCATTTTACTTTTTTTGTCCAAACATTCGGATTTCTTCGATCGTTTTTTGTCCTCGTCAGCAACGTTTTTAGCAGCTTCAGGTTTTGCATTTTCAACTTTAGCCTTTTCGGATTCTTTAGCAGTTCCATCACAAATACTTTTGATTTCCTTCTGAAATGATAAAAATGAACATTTCGAATTCGATAAATCTTGTTGGCCAATATCTCCCTTCAATCAAATGTAATCACTCAAACATCCGTTATTTTTTTNTCGAATTCGATAAATCTCGTTGGCCAATATCTCCCTTCAATCAAATGTAATCACTCAAACATCCGTTATTTTTTTCAGATTTATTTCATCTCATTAAAACTTGATTCCAATTTGATTCGACCACAGTGAATGCAAAAGTCGTTTGAATAAGATAAAAATGAGCGATTTTAACAATGTGTAATGAATTTTCATATGAAATATTCAACAGAGCAACAATGGATTTGAGTGATATTTTGAATGAGATTTGGTCGCTGAGAAATATCATCTCTTGAGTCTGATTGATTTATAACGTTATTATCGCCTCGTTGTGCATTGAAAATGACAACTTGGGGCCAGATATACACTCAAGAAAGTGAGTGCTTGGCGGTGATAATAAATGAATATATAATACTATCGTTGCAGAACATCTAAGCTATACGTTATAAATGTTGTAAATTTGTTACATGCCATATTTGCATGCTAGCCGGTGCGTGCAAATATACTATTTCAGATGAGACTGTTACAGAAAACCTATTCCAATCTGACTTTCGTCACAACAGAAATTTCTAGGATGATTTGAACATGATCGCTGGTATAATGGGAAGACACATAATACTTAGGCATTTTGTTGTTGTTTATCGCGATGAGCGCCGCTGACAACTGCACTGCTGTCATTTCCGTATCATAAATTATTTACTTCT